CTCTGTGGGCAGTTTGATTTCCAGTGGTCACTACCATGAGCTGAATGGAGTCAAGTTGACTTCTTGCTGCCTGGGTAATCCTTCTTAAAGTGCCCTGACTTAACACATTTGTAGAAATTAGCAGGAGCACCTCTGAAATTTTGAGTTTTGCAAGCCTGCAAAGCAGCTACTACAGCCTCTGTCTTTCTTTGTGTTTCTTCTTTATATCCTGGGCCTCCTCTCAGTTCCTGTTTTAAAATGTGGAGGTGGCCACCCTCAAGAGGCTTTCTGGATGCTATCTGGTTCTGTAGCCTGCTTCTGCAGTTTCCATCTAACATAGGGAGCTCAATGTGCTATGAACATGTCCTTTTCAATTGCTTGTTCCTTGACTTTTTCAGGAGAAAGGAGGTGTGCCTCTTTCAGTGTTGCCATAAAGGTTGTAGGATTCTCATCTAGGTTTTTGTCTATCATGGACATTTTAGAGTAATTAAGAGGTTTGGCTCTAATTCATCATAGGCTCTCCAACATGTGCATTAAAAAGTGTTCTTTTCCATTTATATGTGTAGTCATTGGGGTTCTAATCAGGGTTGTCAGTAGGTATTTCCTCTCTTTCTGTTGGGAATAGTGATTCCCCTATTTTTCACCTTAGCTATTTTGTCTTTTGCTTTTTGACCTATTAGAGACATATAACTCATCTTTGAATTCCTCTGTTGCCTTCAGAACTGCCTGTTTTTCTGCAGCAGTTAGAACTTGGCTTAGGAGCAACATAGCATCCCTCCATGAGAGGTCAAACAACTGAGTTAAATTTTGGAATATACCTCTCAGGGTCTCTCTTTATTTGCCTAAGATACTGAATTGAGAAGGGAACTTGAAACCTAGTGGCATCACCTGCACTGATATTTCCCATATGAGCCAGAGCAAGGAGGAGTGGGAATTTTGGGAGATGGTAGAAGTGGAGAAGCCTACAATGTGGTTGGAGGGGGGCCCTGTATAGGGAAACAGGAAGGGTTAGGAACTCTATAACTCCCTCAGATGCTTCTCTGAGAAGTTGTCTTTTTAGTTTTGGAGATTTGCTCCTTTTCAGCCTAAATGATATGATTGCCAAAAGAGCTGGGTCGATTGTGCAATGCTTCCAAAGGTCTGGGTTGTCTCATTAGTATGGTAGCCTCATCTTAATCTTAATCTTTTATTATGCAAAGAAAACCTGTACATAGAAAACCTTGAACCATTTGCTCTCTCATCTACACAAATAATCTAATTTTTGGATAGTATTAAAATTGAGGCTTTCCTGAAAAACGGTTAGTTCAAGACAGTAAGAAGGCCATACCATCTTGCAAAAGAAAATGAGCCACTTTTTCTTCAAAGTCTTGGGGTCATAGGAGTCCCATTGCTTCAAAATGCACTCCAGAGGAGTGCAGGCTGAAGATGGTCTGTTATCCATGTAGAAAGAGAAGTGATAAAAAGGAATCCCTTTAGTTTTCTTCCTTTCTTTTAGAATGACTCAGGGTAAAGGGGGTGACAATGGGGACATTCCTTCAACTGTTTCCTTCCTTGGTTCCCTGAGTCCAAGCATCCATTAAAGGTGGATGCAGGCATTACCCTCACCCATGGATCCAGAGGAGCTAAGCAATAATATTAGTCATACTTACCAATGCAACTTTAGTCCTCCATTGGTGATTTTCCTTTTCCTTTGATTTTCTAGACTTCTGTACTCTGCATGTTTTCCCAATGGATGGCTCTCAGGACAGACTATGTAACAGTTGTATGAATGCAAGGCCCCTTACCACAGGGAGAATACTAGGTAGAGCTGTATATTCTGTTATTATACCCCAGATTAAAGTATTCTTAGGCAGTGGTTCTGGTTAACATCCATAGTATGTAAAATACCCATTTTTTTTTTTTAAGGCACATGGGTATTTTTAAAAAAATGGCAGTTTTTCTGCTAATGGGAAATTATTGACACAAAATTTTTGTTTGGGGAGATATCTTCCTCCTAATTGTTGTGTTTTCTCACTCACATATGGGGCATAAAGCTTGGTTTACAGTTGACGGGTGTAAAAAGAGAGTACAATTGGGAAAATACAGTGTTTTAGCAAAGGTTTGACAAGGTACATCTTGGAGAGGATTCCTATTCCACTAGGCGGTGCTGTATGTCTTGAAATACCATGTGCTTTCCAGACAAAGGGTAGAAAAGATGTTCACTGGGTGGGAGTAGAGGCCCTCTGCTTCTAGAAAAATAAAAAAATGGCCATCCCTTTAGCTGTATTGGCAGTTACTATGGCATTTGCTGATCTTGCCTAATAGGATTATTTCCCTTAACTGTAAAAATTCCTGCAGCACTGCATAAAGACAGGGGACAAGAGGCACAGTGGTCTTGGAAAGAAAAAATTTGATGAAAAAAACTTGGAGATGCTATTGCTTACACCCAATGGGCAGTAAGAGGATGGAAAAATAAGAGTCCAGAAGCCTTTGAGTAACTGTCAATTGTCTCTGGATATCTTCAGCCCCAGATGATGGCTAGGCTCTTTGTGAAAGGAAACCAGTTCAAAACAGAGCCAATATTCCTAGCACCCTGAAAACACTGGGAGATTAGTTTAGTACTCCCTAGCAAGCCTGTCATCTGAGTCTTTGAAGTGGCAGCAATCATAATGGTCTCTTAACTGGCCATCAGATGCCCAGTTTTTTAAGTCATTTTACAATTTAAAATTGAGGGCAGATGAACTCAAAATAAAAGTAGAGAATTGGGGTCCACTCATATAATTACCTTTCTGATGAATCTACCCTTGATCCTAGATGAGCCCCCACAATGAAACAGCCTCATCTGGAGTACTACCTAAGGTTTCTTGTCTTATGGCCATGGAAAAAATAGGATACAGACATGCAAAGAGTGAGATTAGAGTGAAAGTTTAATAGGGAAAAGAAAGCAAATAGCTCTCTGTGGCAGAGAGGTGTCCTGGAAAAATGGGTTTCCTGTTCATGGCAAAATAGAGTGTTTTAAAGATCAGCTGGTGAGGAGGCAGTGTCTGGTTTACATAGGACATGAAAAACTGGTTAGACCAAGTGTGTCATTTGCATGGGGGTGAATCTCTGGTAACCCCATCCTAATCGTTTATCATGCAGGCAGTTTCTCTGCCTGAGCTGTGCCATGTTGCCCATTTCTTTTTTCCTGTAAACATGGTAACAGAGAGGGAAGATGGAGCCTTCATGTTGAATATGTGTGGCCCCCAAGTAGCCCTTTCTCTTGGCATAGCTGTCAGCATTTGCCCATGCAGGCTTCCAGCTTGCTTATCTCTGTCTGCAGCTTGATTCTTCAGGTTGCTCTTGTTAGGAAAAAAAAATAGTTTTCTGGGCTGCTTTTTGTTAGAAGGGAAGCACTGTTGAGGGCTCTTTAAGCTCTCATTATCTATCTAATTTCTTTCTACCTCCTGTATCAATAAGATCACTTTGGGCTGCGCATGGTGTCTCATGCCTGTAATCCCAGCACTTTGGGAGGCTGAGGTGGATGGATCACCTGAGGTCAGGAGATTAAGACCAGCCTGGCCAACATGGTAAAACCCCATCTCTACTGAAAATATAAAAATTAGCCAGGCATGGTAATGGGGACCTGTAATCCCAGGTACTCTGGAGGCTGAGGCAGGAAAATCACTTGAATCCAGAAGGCAGAATTGCAGTGTGCTCAGATGGTGCCTCACACTCCAGCCTGGGCTACAAAAGTGAAACTTCACCTAAAAAAAAATTACTTTGACTGCAGTGTGGACAACACACTGAAAGACAACAGAGGAGTAGAGTCAGAGAGATTGCTTAAGTAGCTATTGGCCTATTCGAGAAAAAATGTTTTAAATACTAAAATCTGGTAAAAATTATGTAGAGAAAGGCAAATGCTCAAGGAATTTTTATACAGTTAAGATACAATAAATATCTTGATATTTATATATTTATCAGATAAATATACTGATACAATAAATCAGTAGATTCTGCCTGCTAATAGCATAAATGTACTTAGAACAAGTTTCTTAGCTGGTCAACACCTGATTTCAGCCTTATGTAATGTTTTCTTATAGAATGTTCTCAAGGAGTTTCAGAACTTCACTCTGAAATTCTCATTTTACGTAGAAATTACTTATGCTTACTCAGCAATCATTGTGTATACTTGAGAACTCTTGAAATATAAGAAAACCTGTAAGTCGAGTCGTTTCTCTTTTTTTTGTTTTGTTTTGTTATTTTTTTTTTTTGAGATGGAGTCTCGCTCTTGTTACCCAAGCTGGAGTGCAATGGTGCGACTTCGGTTCACTGCAACCTCCGCCTCCTGGGTTTAAAGCAATTCTGCTACCTCAGCCTCCTGAGTAGCTGGGACTACAGGCTGCACCACCATGCCCAGCTAATTTTTGTATTTTTAGTAGAGATGAGGTTACACCATGTTGACCAGGATGGTCTCGATCTCTTGACCTCGTGATCCACCTGCCTCGGCCTCCGAAAGTGCTGGGATTACAGGATTGAGCCACCGCACCCAGCCTATTTTTTTTTTTTTTTTTTTTTTTACTGGAGATCGGTTTTCAGCATGGTGGCCAGACTGGCCTCAAGTGATCCACCAACCTCTGCCTCCCAAAGTTCTGGGATTACGGGTGAGAGCCACAGCTGCACCCGGCAGGCACCGAAGAGGTTCCGCTGGGGCCTGCTCGGAGGAGTCGCGCTGGGAAGGCGAGTGGAGGTGCTTCTTGATAAAACTGGGGAATCCCAGATCTCAGGGGTTCTGTCCTGGCCTGCCTCCCTGGATCGTCCAGCCTGGGCGGGAGTGCGGAGAGGACCTCGGCCTTCTTGACTGGGGCTGCATGGGAGGGTCCAACTTCACCAAAGGCCTAGCCCGCGGTTCCTAGCCTATGGCCCCACCCAGCAGCCCCCGGTCCCCCCTCCCCTCCAGACCTGGCAGTCGCCCTCAAAAAACATGGCGCCGATGGCCTCAGTACGTCAAGCGACACGCCCGCCGGCCTCTTCCGGCGCTTCTTTTATCACCGCAGCCGAGCGGTAGAGCGGGCGGTCTGGCTTTCGGGCCGGCGGCGGACTGCGTGGCTGTGTGGCAGTGCGCTGGCGCTGCAGGGAGGGATGCTGTGCCCCTGGGAGAGCCCGTCGCGGGAGCGCAAGGAGCTGGACAGACTCTGGAGCTTCCACGCTGACTTCTCGGACGACCGGCGCCAGCCAGGGCTTCCAGAAGCAGTGGTAGCGGCTGCTGCTGCGGTACTCAGGGCAGGGCCGGGAGGCACGCGGAAGCCCATCGTAGGGACTGGGAGAGTCCAGGCCGCCTCGCAGGCTCTTTCCCCTGGGCGCCCGGGGGTTGGGGGCCCAGGGGAGGTTAAAGATGAATGGGCTTGGCTGGTCAACATGGTGAAACCCCGTCTCTACTAAAAATACAAAAAATTATCTGGGCATGGTGGCGCGTGCCTGTGGTCCCAGCTACTTGGGAGGCTGAGGCAGGAGAATTGCCTGAACCCAGGAGGCGGAGGTTGCGGTGAGCCGAGATCGCGCCATTGCACTCCAGCCAGGGTAACAAGAGCGAAACTCCCTCTCAAAAAAAAAAAAAAAAAGATTAATGGGCTTGGGAGCGTGGGGTTGGGGGAGTGGGGCCGGGAGGGGACCCAGGAGGACCGCGGAAGAGGAGGCAGGAGGAGGAGGAAGCGCCCCTGCCGAGCTCCCTCCCGAGGTGAAGGCTGAGCCCGGGCAGTGTCCTTTTTTTTTTTTTTTAATGTTTATTATTAATTTTTAAAACATTTTTTGAGACCGGGCTTGGCCCTGTTGCCCAGGCTGGAGCGCAGTGGCGCAGTCCTAACTTCTGATCTCAAGGGAGCCTTCTGCCGCAAGTTAGTAGGGCCTCCACACCTTGCTAATTTAAAAAAAAACTTTTTTTTTTTTGAGTCGGTCGGAGTTTCGCTCTTGTTACCCAGGCTGGAGTACAATGGCGCGATCTAGGCTCACCGCAACCTCCACCTCCTGGGTTGAGGCAATTCTCCTGTGTCAGCCTCCCGAGTAGCTGGGATTACAGGCACGTGTCACTATGCCCAGCTAATTTTTTGTATTTTTAGTAGAGATGGGGTTTCACCATGTTGACCAGGTTGGTCTCAAACTATTGCCCTCAAGTGATCTGCCCACTTCAAGCTCCCAAACTGCTGGGATTACAGGCTTGAGCCCCTGCCCCGGCCTTTTTGTGGCTGGAGTACAATGGCGCGATCTAGGCTCACCGCAACCTCCACCTCCTGGGTTGAGGCAATTCTCCTGTGTCAGCCTCCCGAGTAGCTGGGATTACAGGCACGTGTCACTATGCCCAGCTAATTTTTTGTATTTTTAGTAGAGATGGGGTTTCACCATGTTGACCAGGTTGGTCTCAAACTATTGCCCTCAAGTGATCTGCCCACTTCAAGCTCCCAAACTGCTGGGATTACAGGCTTGAGCCCCTGCCCCGGCCTTTTTGTGTGTGTGTGAGTGTGTGTGTGTGTCTGTGTGATAAGTGTCTCGCCAGGCTGGAGTGCAGTGGCATGATCTCGGCTCACTGCAACCTTCACCTCCTGGGTTCCAGTGATTCTCCTGGTTCAGCCTCCCAAGGAGCTGGAATTACAGGTGCACTCCACCACACCTGGGTAGTATTTTTGTATTTTGATTAGAGACGAGGTTTCACCTTGGTGGCCAAGATGGTCTGGATCTCCTGACCTTCTAATCGAGAACTGTGGGAGGCCAAGGCAGGTGGATCACGAGGTCAAGAGAGCGAGACCACCCTGGCCAACATGGTGAAATCCCATCTCTAATAAAAATAGAAAAATGAGCTGGCCATGGTGCCAGCTACTCAGGAGGCTGAAGCAGGAGAATCACTAGAACCTGAGAGGTGGGGACTGCAGTGAGCCGAGATCTCACCACTGTACTCCAGCCTGGCAACAGAACAGACTCTGACTGGAAAAAAAAAGGAAAATTTAGCCAGCTCCTCACAACCACCTAACCTCCTCTGTCTCCCTGTATGGTCAGGCTGTGTGAGTACCGGAGAGGCTTGGTGACTGGGAATCTTTTCTTTCTCCCAGTTGAGTTCCTGTTCTGGGCTTCATTCTGTATGACCCATCTCAGCAGGAGGGCCAGGGACCTCATCCTCTATGGCACCAAGGAATTCAGCTTCCTGCAGCTCTCAGATGCCTACAGGTAAGTTCCAAGCTGCCACCACCACCTGCTGCTCTTCCCAGCCTCTGTATACCCTATCCCCCTTGGGCATGGCATTTTTCCTCCTCACCCCACCCCTCTGCCAGACCTTACCAGTGAGCTGCTGGACCAGCCAAGGGCCCAGCCCCTTAAGTGCAGTTCTCCTGCCTCAGCAGCCCAAGTAGCTGGTCTGAGACCACTACCACAACCGGCTAATTTTTGTACTTTTAGTAGGGATGGGGTTTCTCCATGTTGACCAGGTTGGTCCTCTAACTCCTGACCTCAAGTGATGTGCCTACTTCAACCTCCCAGACTGCTGGGATTACAGGCTTGAGCCCCTGCCCCGGCCTTTTTTTTTTTTTGTGATAAGTCTTTGGCCAGGCTGGAGTGCAGTGGCATGATTTCAGCTCACTGCAACCTTCACCTCCTGGATTCAAGTGATTCTCCTGGCTCAGCCTCCCAAGTAGCTGGGATTACAGGTGCACACCACCGCACCCAGGAAGTATTTTTGTATTTTGATTAGAGACGGGGTTTCACCTTGTCTGAATCTTCTGACCTCATCATCCGCCCACCTTGGCCTCCCAAAGTGCTGGGATTACAAGAGTGAGCCACCACACCCAGCCAAAGCTGGTTTACTTAAAACAACAACAATACAAAACCGGCTAGGTGCAGTGGCTCACATTTGTAATTCGAGTGCCTTGGGAGGCCAAGGCAGGAAGATTGCTTGAGCCCAGGTGTTTTAGAGCAGCATGTGGAACATGTGTGCCATCACAGCTCACTGCAGCCTTGACCTCCCACACTGCAGCTATTTGATTTAAAGTGAGAGACATGCAATTCTTCCTTTTACTCAAACACTTAGAAGCCATTGGAGGGTAATTAATTGGCCTAATTTCAATATTGTTGTATCTTAAAGAATAGAGAGGCCCAAAGAGAGGGAGGGACATGGAGAGGGGGGAAGATTCAGTAGATGGAGCAGTCACAACACACTCAGTTGACCTTCCAGGCACAAGCAATCCTCCCACCTCACCTCAGCCTCCTAAGTAGCTGGTAGCATCTGCAATCACACTATTTTTTTTTTAGTAGAGATGGGTGTCTCATTGTGTTGCCCAGGTTTGCACTGAATAATTCTGTTGGCAGCATTTTAAGTTTTTCTTTAATACTGTATCTGTTATGGTGATCTGTGATCACTGACCTTTGATGTTACTACTGTAATGGTTTTGGGATTCTGTCAAGCCCGCTTACATAGGATGTTTAACTTAATTGATAAGTGTTGAGTGTGTTCTGACTGCTCCACTTACTGTTTCCCCATCTCTCTCCCTCTCTTTGGGCCTCTCCATTGTTTCAAATACAACAATATTGGTATTAGGCCAATTAATTACCCTCAATGTGTCTAAGTGTTTGAGTAAAAGGAAGAGTTGCATGTCTCTCACTTTAAATCAAAAGCTAGAAATGATTAAGCTTAGTGAGGGAGCCATGTCAAGAGCCATGATGGGCTGTAACCTAGTTCTCTTGTGCCAAACAGTTAGCCAAGCCAAGTTGTGAAAGTTTTTGAAGAAAGTTAAATGTGCTACTCCAGTGAACTTGCAAATGATAAAATGAAACAGGCCAGGCTCAGTGACTCACACCTGTAATCCCAGCATTTTGGGAGGCTGAGGCAGGAAGATGAGACCAGCCTGGCCAACATGTTGAAATCCCATCTCTACTAAAAATACAGAATTAACCAAGCTTGGTGGTGCATGTCTGTAGTCCCAGCTACTCAGGAGGCTGAGGCAGGAGAATAGCTTGAACCCCAGAGTTGGAGGTAGCAATGAGCTGAAATCGTGCCACTGCATTCCAGCCTAGGTTAAAGAGTTAGACTCTATCTTAAAAAAAGAACAAAAAAGGGAAAATGAAACAGCCTTACTGCTGATATGGAGAAAGTTTCAGTGGTCTGGATAGGCAATCAAACCAGCTACAACAGTCCCTTAAGCCAGAGCCTAATCCAGAGCAAGGCCCTAGCTCTCTTCAGTTCTGTGAAGACTGAGGGAGGTAAGAGGAAGCTGCAGAAGAAAAGTTAGAAGGTAGCAGAGGTTAGTTGAGGATGTTTCAGGAAAGAAGCCATTTCCATAATATAAGAATGCAAAAAGAGGCCACAAGTGCTGATGGAGAAGCTGCAGCAAGTTATCCAGAAGATCCAGCTAACATCACTGTTGAAAGTGGCTACACTAACAACAGTTTCAATGTAGATGAAACAACCTATTGGAGGAAGATGCCATCTAGGAGTTTTAATAACCAGGAAGGAGAATTCAAAACTTCATAGGACTGACTGACTAATGCAACTTGTGACTTTAAGTTGAAGCCAACGTTCATTTACCATTCTGAAAATCCTAGGGCCCCTGAGAATTATGCTAAATCTCTTCAGCCTGTGCTCAATAAATGGAAGAACAAAGGTTGGATGACAGCACATCTGTTTACAGCATGGCTTACTGACAATTTTAAGCCCACTGTTAAGACCTACTGCTGAGGATCCAAGATGACTGAATAGGAACAGCTCCAGGAATGCAGGTCCCAGCAAGAACAATGCGGAGGGTGAGTGCCCACCACATTTCTGAAGAAATTTTCATTGCCCACAGACCAGGAGATTCCTGGGCAAAAAGCACCACAAGTTTTCAGCACGGTGGTGTCAGTTGGTGCTGGGTTGGCACACAGAAACTCAAAAAAGTCTGGGTGGCCGTTTCAACTGGTGACTAATGGTTTCTGTAACTCTATATTACATTTAAAGTCTGGTAATGTGATTCCTCCAGTTTTGTTCTTCTTCCTTAGGATAACTTTGGCTATTCTGGGTCTTTTGTGGTTTCATATACATTTCAGCATTGTTTTTTTCTATTTCAGTGAAGAATGTTACTGGTATTTTGATAGGGATTGCACTGAATATATTGCTTTAGGTAGTATGTGTTAACAATATTGATTTTTCCATTCACAAACATGGAAATCTTTCCATTTTTTTGTGTCATCTTCAGTTTCTTTCATTAGTGGTTTATATTTTTCATTGTAGATATATTTTTCACTTCTTTGGTTAAGTTAATTTTGAGGTACTTTATTGGTGGCTACTGAAAATAGGATTACTTTCTTGATTTCTTTTTCAGATTGTTTGCTGTTGGCATATAGAAATGCTTCTGATTTTCGTATGTTGATTTTGTATCCTGCAACTTTACTGAATTTATTGATAAGTTCTATTAGTTTTCTGGCAAAGTCTAGGTTATTCCCAGTATAAGATCATGTTATTTGCAAACAAGGATACTTTGGCTTTATCCTTTCCAACTTGGATGCCCTTTATTCATTTCTCTTCTGTGACTGCTCCAGCTGGATCTTCCAGTACCATGTTGAATAACAGTGGTGAAAGATAAGCAGCCTTGTCATGTTCCAGATCTTAAAGGAAAGACTTTCAGTTTTTCCCCATTCAGTATGATGCTAGCTGTGGATTTGTTGTATATGGCTTTTATTTTGTTTGAAGTGTGTTTATTCTATATCCAGTTCTTGAGGGTTTTTATTATGAACGGATGTTGAACTGAACTTTATCAAATGTTGTTTGTCAGCATCGATTTAAATGATTATATGGTTTTTGTCCTTCGTTCTGTTGACACGTGTTTCACACTATGATTTGTATATATTGAGCCATCCTTACATCTCTGGGTTAAATTCAGTCATTATTTTATGTCGCTGGTTTTTGTGTTTTATCACTAGTATAAACTCAGGTTTTGGGGGAGATTTTTTTCCTTCTTAAAGATGGATTTAGTAGGGGGAAGTTTTACATACCTGAAGACCTTTTATTATTTATGAATACTCTGTGAGGTTCCCTACAGAGAACGTTCTTGTTACCAGAGGCTTTTATTGATTAGATGTCCAGATAAAGGAATTCCAGAGTCACCAAGGAATGTAGCAAGAGTAAACTCTCATCTGTGTGACCCCCTCGGAAAGCAATTAGAAAAATTAGTGTTCTGGCTTTTCTTTTTAAGAGATAATTTAGTATGGTAAAAGAAGACAAAGGAAAAATATATGTGACTCAGACCTAAATGGAGAGAAACAAATTAAGCTTTCATTTTTCTTTCAGGAGCAAAAGTGCATGTAGAAATGACTGAAATGTCTGCTTGTTTTTCTGTTTGTTTTTCAAGGGCTTTGAGGGCATGCTAGTGAGTGTCTAGTTATTTGGAGACATTATTGTGGCATCATCATCATTATTCCTTTTTGATAACTAAATGAAAGTGCTGTCCTCGGAAATACCATTTAACAGTAAAGAAATTTTCTCCTAAGATAGGCCTTGAAGGTACACTGTCAAAACCTCCCAGCCCAGCAAGGCTGTGTTCTGAACTCTTTCTCTACTGTTGGCTCAATATTGTTTCAATAATCAGCTACTTTAAAAAATCAATCATGGCTGCTTATCTTATATAGTATATTATATAGAGACAAAAGGATATAGAGATGAAAATTGGAAATGGCCACCTATTAATAACTGAATTTTTTTAGGTTGGCATTTACTGTGGGATCTTCTGTGTTTGTTTGTTTGTTTTGTCAATCAATTACTTCTATACTGCAACAGGGATGTTCAAAATTCAGATTGCTGGAGAAAATTTCATGGAGGCGTTTCCTGTTAATCTTTGTAGAAATTATCATGGTGAATTCCAATTGTACCATGTAAGTATTTTTCCCTTTGTTAAATATATTCAGGTGAAATACGGAAACTACATACTATAATTTGAAAGAAATGTAATTCCTCCATCTCAGGTGCCTGCAAATATGGTAATCATTAGGAAAGTATATAGAATGGTTGTCTTAACTGTGAGCATTATTGTTAATATTTTGAATTTTAGACCTGGGAGGTACCTTTGACATTATTCAAATTCTTCTGCTACATAAAGAAAAAGTCTGAGGCCAAGAGCAACTGAAGGTTTTCCCTGGATCATCTAAGTAGTGAGAAGCACCGCAGGGACCAGACCAGGCTGCCGGGTCTCTGACTTTGTCCCCTTGCTAATGTGATTTCATCAGCTTTCAGTACCATGTTGCAGTTCACGAAGCCACATTTGTCAGCACTTGTATGGCAGCTGGGTTTCTAGAAAGAGTGATATCTTTGTCATTAGTTTAGTGGTATGCAGGGACAGGAGAGCTGAGGGAAGGCTTATGAACCCTCTGCTTTGAACCAGTATCAGAGTTGGGAGGGCACTAGTTACTGTCCTCAAGGGCCTTGCACTGTCATTAGCAAAAGAGGGCACAAACATCTAGACAATGGCCAAATGGAGCCCTCAGGCAATACATGCTTTTATAGGCACTAGCAAGAGGGAGAGGTCACTTCCAGATGGTGTTTCACATGAATGTGGACTTGGTGAATCTCCATAAAGTGAGCTGCTTCCAGCAGGATTGATTGCAGAGTTTGTTATCAGGTCTTTTCTTGTGGTCATGTGGTCGGGTAGTCAGTAGGGCAGGGAGTGTCAGTCAGTGTCTTTCTTCTGTTCATAGGCAGCCAATAGAGCAAGGAGGGTCAGTCAATGGCATTCTTCCGGTCATGCGGTTGGATAGCAGGTAGAGAACAGAGAGGGTAAGTCAGTTCCTCCATCCTGCGGTCAGGTAGTGGGTAGGGCAGGGTAGGTTAGGTAGTGGTAGGTCAGGTAGTGGGTAGGGTAGGGCTCGTGTCAGGTCTGCAAGTTCCTGGGGGATGTGCAGGTTGAATGCAAATTCCTAATGGAAAAGAGCCAGGAGATGGACTTCAGGGCTAGGCACAGGCCTGGCTTTATTTCCACACTGGAGTAAGACACTTTGGTTCTTCTCCCAGTCTCCCACCTGGTCAGCTTCCTGTTTTGAGTTTGAGCCCTGTCCCTGACCCTCCCTCTAATAAGAGGGATTGGGCCTGTTTTTGGAAGTTGGGTTGAACCCCTATCTCCTGATCATATGTATTTCCATGTCCAAGAGCTTAAAAGAGACTTACTTATTACATGCAATATAGGTATGTCTTCCCCTTTAGGAACAATACTGTTTTCCTGGGATGAGATGACAAGTCTTGGCTAACACTGACCTAACATGTCTCCACTCTTGGGACAAGGTGCACATTCCTGGTGTGCTGCAATGCTTGGGAGTGATGTACTTTGTGGTTGCTGTGTTGGAGTTCCTCTTTGCTAAACCTGTGCCTGAATATTGTGCTTCGATGAGAAATTTTTTAATTAAAAAAAATTATTGTGTGGTGATACGGTCTCACTGTGTTCCCCAGACCAGCCTCTTAACTCCTGGCTTCAAGCGATTCTCCTCTTTGGCCACCCAAAGCACTGGGATTACAGGTGTGAACCACCATGCCTGGCCAGGAATTGTGTTATTGTTTTTGCTGTTTATTGTTGTTGTTGTTACTGTTGAGACAGGAACTTGCATTGTTTCCCATTCTGAGGTGCAGTGATATGATCTAGGTTCCCTGCAGCTTTGATAAACCTGTGCTGAATATTGTGCTTCGATGAGAAATTTTTAATTAAAAAAAATTATTGTGTGGTGATACGGTCTCACTGTGTTCCCCAGACCAGCCTCTTAACTCCTGGCTTCAAGCGATTCTCCTCTTTTGGCCACCCAAAGCACTGGGATTACAGGTGTGAACCACCATGCCTGGCCAGGAATTGTGTTATTGTTTTTGCTGTTTATTGTTGTTGTTGTTACTGTTGAGACAGGAACTTGCATTGTTTCCCATTCTGAGGTGCAGTGATATGATCTAGGTTCCCTGCAGCTTTGATATCCCAGGCTCCTTCCTCCTCAGCCTCCTGATTAAGCTGAGACTATAGGAGAGCACCACCATGCCTGGCTAATTTTATTTATTTTTTTGTAGAGACAAGGTCTCACCATGTTGGGTAGGCCGGTCTCAAACTCCTGGATTCAGGTGATCCTCCTGCCTTGGCCTCTAAAATTGCTGGGATTACAGGTGTGAGCCATCATGGCCTGCCAAAACTGTGTGTTTTTTAAAAAGAAGAACAAAGGGGGATATGGTTTATAGAACTTTTAAAAATTTCTGCATTCAATACTGCACTTCTGCTAATCAAATACTTACTGATTTCCACTTCCATCTAGTTTTTAAAGCTTTATATCAACTTTTAAAATTATGTTAAAATACACACGACATCTAGCTTTTTAGCAAATTTGTCAGCACACAGTAATCACATGCATTATTTTTCCTATTTTTATTAACAATACATATCAATTATACATATTTATGAGGCTCAGGGTGATATTTTGATCCTGTGTATTATACAACATGTAACGACCAAATAATGGTGATTAGTATATCCATCACCTCAGTTATCATTTCTTTGTGTCGGGAACATGCAAAGTCCTCTCTGCTACTTTCAAATGTGTTCTTTTTTATTTGTTTTTTTGGAGACATGGTCTCACTGTGTCACTCAGGCTGGATTGCAAGTAGCATGATCTCAGCTCACTGTTGCCTTGACCTTCCATTCTCAAGCGATTCTCACACCTCAGTCTCCTAAGTAACTGGGACTATTGGTGTGCACTACCATGCTCGGCTAATTTTTATATTTATTGTAGAGTGGAGATTTCACCATGCTGCCCAGGCTGGTCTTATACTCCTGGGCTCAAGTGACCCACTTGCCTCAGCCTCCCAAAGTGCTGGGATTACTGACATAAGCCACCATGTCTGGCCCCATTTTCGATGGTATTAAATAATACCAACAGCATCCACTTCACAGGTTCAGTCTCAAGGGGCATTATTAACTTTTCAATTTCCTTATGACATTTTGGTCTCTATTCATATGCTGTAAGTTCAGTAAATTTTTGTGTTGAGGATGATCCTCAGGTAGGACATGGGAGAATGACAGTATTGTGCTTGACTATTTCTATTACTTCTTTATTAGAGGAATGTCAGAGTCCTATCTCTTTTGTGATTACTTCCTGTCTTACTATAAATTGCTGGGCGGAGTTTGACCCAGGTGACAGTTACTTCTCACCACCACCTGCCATTATTGGCAAAAATTCCAATAGAAATGTTTAAATTCTTCCATTTGGGTCTTATTCAACAATGCTATGTTGTTGTCTAGCTTCTTTCTTGATATGTAACTGGCAGGTTCATCACTGAATCCCACATTCTCTAGGTGCTTCCTGTAATGCTAGATATTTTGGGGGCATTTTAATCGTTGTTACTTTTCCCCCTCTGCCATTGTTGTCAGTGGGTTGTGTCCTCTGGCTGTGAATTTCCTTAAGGTGAAGAAGAGGTGAGATATGTATGAATGGGCATGGACTTGGTCAGCCATGGATACCAAAGCTGCCCTTTTCAGCCCTTCTGAGGGACTTGAGGGTCTGCGGAGGCACATCCAGGGCCATCAACATAGGGTGAGGGGTTCAGTGGGACACTAAGAATAGGTGGGCTGCATCCTTTCTTCCTTCAACCACACAGATCCAAAAGTTTGTATTTAATTTTTACACTTGAACATTTATTTTTAATTTTCAAATTATAGGTATTGATATGTAATTCACATACCATAAAACTTGCATGTTGAGAGCATACAATTCA